TCATTTTTTTTTTTTTTTTTAGTTAAAACAACAAATCAGATTGGAGCAAAAACTGATATGGTCTCCTATGCTAACAATCAGACAGAAGCCAGGGCAGCATGCCACCCTGGAAACTAACTCATTCAGAGTTAGCATCTGATAAAATAGGCTGCCACCTACAAAAGCGTATGCCTTTCTGAACAAGTTAGTCTTTAAGATGCTACCCTGTCCTGCTGTCATCACTCTAATCCTGATAGATGTACAAATTCCTCTGAAACCAGCAACCTCAGGGAAACAGATACCTGACGAACCCTCCAGTTTATAAAAGGCATGTAAATTAAAAAGTGCATGAAGACATGTAAAGAGAAATCCAGGAAGAAGTTCCAAAGGGCAGAAATCGGTATCTAAATCTTGATACATAAAATGTAAATGTTATGTCTTCCCTGTTTTCTTATATTAGTTGGTACACGTCCCACATAGATGATGTCTTCCTTAGTTTATGAAGACTTACGAAAGCACAGCTTCTAGCTAGCAGCTAATGACACTGCAAAAAACAAGAAACCTAGACTAACGAATGTTTCCAGGACCTCGGGAAGCATTGTTCATGACTGCAGGTACAGACACATGTGAGCTAGTTTCATCCAGTGTTAAAATTGAAGCAGTTTTTGTTCCATTTGCACCCTTCTCATTAGAACATAACAGCTGCTGCCCCTTTGAAATGGCTCCAAATACATGTGTCCATACCCTACAAGATATTTGGACAGCTTAAACAATAGTTTGAAACATCCATATCTTTTAACTGTAACTTATTATGAATCCATACTTTATTTGCACCTGAAATGCAGAAAGGCAGAAAGTTAGTTACGTTCCCAAGCATTTCTAAGGACACAAAACATACTTTAAGATTCCTCAATATATCTGAGGCCCTGAGCACAAAACAACATTAACATTTATATAATTTGCAAAGCTTCGATACCCCACTAAGTTATGTTGATATGTGGAGTGGTCAGAGAGTTCTCTCTTCTGTGGTAGTTGATGCATTAGGCATTATTATTATGTGTAGGCAACCGTCGATCCTCTGGATCACGGTGTACACATAAGAGGTCTATGACCATCACACCAAGATGTCCGAAGCGTGCGCCTAGGCAAGAGTAAGGAGGAGTGGAGGCTGTCCAAGACCTACTGCTTCAGACCACTGAGACAGAATCCAAAGGCCAGACTATTATAACGCCTCATCAACAGGTGATAAATGAGCCACTAATTAACTTGTTTGCAGCAAAAAGGGTAAGAGCAGGCATAAACATCATATTGGTGTTAATTGCCCCAGCGCAGTTTTAGGACAGATTTTCCTCGGATTCTAGTAAGCTGCAATAGTATAGGGCTATCGCGACCATCCCTTGTTTACACTAGTATACTAGCAGGGGTGGATCCAGAGAGGATGCAGTGGTGCAGGGGCACCCCATTTCTGACCATGCAGCAGGAGCAACAGTTGGCACTTTGATTTAAAGTCCCCAAGCAGGTAAGAAGTCCTCCTCCCTCCCTTCCCCTCAGCGCACAGAGACATGCTTCCTCCCCACTCCCTCCCCCCTCTGCCCACCTCTGTCCCCACTGACCTGTTGTTGGGGGGAGCTCCACAGAGGCTCTTGTCCACTCCAGCTGGGCTGCGTGGGTTCAGCCCAGGACAATAGCAGCGGCAAGTGGGTTTCCCCCTCTCTCCCTGGTCCCCCTGGGTGCTCCCCACCAGCCCACGAGCAAGCATGGGGAGGGGGAACCTGTCCACTGCTGCTGTTGTTCCAGGCTGAGTCTGGCCCCCACAGAGCCTGGTCCGAATTGGGCAGAAGTGGCTCTGGAGATCCCCTCGCCCCTGGGACAGCAGCAGTGGCAGGTGGGGGAGGAAAGAAGGTGGAAGAAAGGGTGGGAGCAGGGAGTACAGCTACCCCTGCAACCCTGATTGCAAGGTCCTGGATCTGTTTCTGTATGCAAGTTTTATATGTCAGTATTTTTAAAGTGTTCTTTGCACTGTTTATTATGAAAAGAGATTTTTTTTTTTTTTTTTTTTTTTTAAATAAGCAGACATGGTTCTTTGGGTGAATCTGATATCTTTTATTAGACCGACTTAAGTAGTCGGAAAAAAACATTTTAAGCAAGCTTTCAGGTTTAAAAACCCTTCATCAGGCTGAGGAAGTTTCTGCAGTTGTTTTTTTCTGCAGTTTTTTTTAAATACTGCACTTCAGTGTTAATTTATTTCAGAAATCACCAAATCTTTTCAAATGTCATATTTCCCTGCTCTCTGCAGCTTACAATACATTAAAATGTTCAGCAAGTCAGTTGAGATATATGAAAGCAAGAAAAATTAATGTTACAAACACCTTTATGCAAAAGCAAAGACTACAAAAAAAGTCATTAACGGTGATGATTTAAAAAAAAAAAATCTTACAATATTTCCTTTTAAATGTTCTCAAAAATTAAGACTGAGAAAGTGTGACAGACTTGATCTACAGTACAGTGGACTAATATTTGCTAGTCATAATATGGTACACAATACGGTACGATATAATAGGTTTTACAACCTTAACTTAAAGTTGCTATTTTAAAATGTTCCTATTTAAAACTATTTTTTATTATACTAATTTAATTTTAGAAAAATGACGGTACCAGAAAATCATTACAAAGATCCATAGTCAATAGAAATTTTACTATTTTCCATCAGCATTTCCATAGGATATATTGTAGGGAAAAGTGATCATTTTGTCAAAAGTACTTCTCAGGATTTAGACAGTTATGACAAATATCTCTGCTATCACCTGTTAAGGCGCATCTGCCACATCTCCATGATTCTGTAGCAATGAAGTGTAGCAAAACATTTCAATTAACCTTGTTTCAGTCAGGGTCAACATTAGAACAGTGGCTAATTTGTATTGCTACAGTAATCATGCAAACGTAACAGACTGTAACAGCTGATATTTGCTGCCAAGCAGCAGCTCCCCTTCTCCTTTTAAACACCTTAAAAGGTTTGTTTGTCCATACTCTCAGAGACTTCTAAGAATTTGTACATCTGGAGGGAGGGGAGCTATTATTGATGTATATGCACATGAAGGGAAATGCATTCACTTAAATGGTTTGTCTCTCTCTTCTAGGCTAGGAAAAATACCAATGTTTGGCTGTGTTGAACAATGACAATCTCTTCACTGAATGGAGTAATATCCGCTACTTGCCTACAAAGCAAATAAACTGTTCACCTGTATTTGAAAACTATGTACAATCACTTCTCAGCAAGTCCAAGCTAACATTAAAAAAGGAGCACAAATCTCCTGCCATTATCTCCAATTCCTTTTACGCACCCGCACCAATGAATGGAGTTGCATGTTCTGCCTCACTTGAGGAAGTGTATCTGTGGTAATTTCTGTACATGCCTTATGTTGCACTTCAGGTTAGCACAATTAGCAATGAATCACATTTATATACATCAATGTAACAAGAGAGATTAGACCAGTTGTTTGTCCTTTTTTGGAAGTAAATGACATAAAATACACAGGAAATAGCAGAATTTGCTTTAACTTATAATATGCAGCATCTTTCATGCAGTCTTGAGGTTGCTTTATGACCCCTTATTACCACCATATTGCTTACATTGTGAAAACAGACTGCTACATAATACACACAATTCTTGGCCCTGGCAAGTTTCAATCTCTCACATCCACCCCAGTCAATTTGTTAAAAGATACAGAGCTCTCAACATATGAAGCATTACTATAAAGAAATAAATAAATAAAAAAACCAAGTCGCAATGCCTAATAACCAACCCCCACCTAACAGTCTAGGTTTTACAGACAAATGCAGACTACAGTCTCCCTATGCCCAAGGAAGGGTGTTTGTTTGTGCCCAAAACCTTGCAAAGAACTTTTCT